TCGAAACAATACCATTTATAACACCATAGTAAATACTAAATACTTAAGGGTAAATCTGAGAAAATGTTCGCAAGGCATGTACACTGAAAACTACAAATCATTGTCAAGAGATGTTCAAGACCCACATAAATGAAGAGATATGTTGTGATCATGGGTTGGAAAACTCAATATGGTTAAGATGCCAGTTCTCCCCAGATTGATCTATAAATTCAACATAATCTCAATCAAAATCCGAGCTAACTTAAAAATATGTATATTGACAAGCAGATTTTATATGGAAATGTAGAAGACTAAGATTAGCCAAGAAATTTGATTAATGAGAACACAATTAGAACACTAACACTACTTTCAAGATTTATAAAGTTACGGGAGTCAAGGCAGGGTGATGTTGGCATAAATGTAGACAAATGGTTCATTGGCACAACAAAGAGAGTCCAAGAAAGACTGTACCCATCTGATTTTTCACAAAAGTACAAAGGCAAATCTTTGGTAAGTGGGACCAGCATACTTGGCTATCTATCTGTAAAGAAGTAAATGCCGATCTTTACCTTGCAACATGTACAAAGATTGTTTTAAAATGGATCATAGACCTAAATGTAAAACCTAACCCTATAAAAGTTTTACAAGAACATATAAGAAAAAAAAAATCTTTGTAACCTCAGGCTGGGCAAAGATTTCTTAGATAGGAAACCCAAAGCACAATTTAGAGGAGAAAATATTGACAAATTTGACTTCATCAAAATTTAAGATTTCTCTTCTTCAAAAGACATGTTAAGAGAATGACAAAACTTTATAGCTGAGAGAAAATATTAGCAAATCACTTATCTGGTAGAAAACTTATATTCACAATATATTAAGAACTCTCAAAACTCAGTAATAAGAAAACAAACAACCCAATAAAAATGGATACAAGATTTAAAAAAAAAGGATACAAGATTTTAATAGACATTTCACCAAAAAAGATACTTGGATCACAAATAAGCACATGAAAGGTTGGACAATATCATTAGTCATTATGGAAATGCCCGTCAAAACCACAGTAAGATACCACTTCACACCCATCAGGACGGCTATGGTAAAACAGACAACGGTGAGTGTCAGCCAGAGTGTGGAGAAACTGGAAACTCCCTCCCTCTCCCCCCGACTGTAATCTGCTGGTGGGGATAGTAAAATGGTATTGCCACTTCGGAAAACAGTTTGGTATTTCTTAAATATTAAAAATAAATGTATTATCTGACCCAGTAATTCCAGCTCTAAGTATATACCCATTAAGAGAATTAGAAACATATGTCCCCACAAAAAATTATGCATGGGTGTTCATGGCAGCATTTTTTATAGTAGCCAAAAAGTGGCAACAATCCAAATGTCCATTAGTGGCAAATGGGGAGGTTCAGTGCAGTCTATCCAAACAGGAGTATAAAGAAATGGAGTCATGCTATAATTTGGATGCACATTGGAAACATACTAAGTGAAAGAAGCTAGATACAAAAGGCCACATATTCCATGATTCTGTTTTGATGAAATGTCCAGAGAAGGTAAAAATATGGAAATAGAAAGCAAACTAGTGGTTGCCTGAAGCAGGGGTGGGAATAAGGATTGACTTCTTGGGGCAGAAAGGATCATTTGGGAATGATGGACATGTTCTCCAACTGCACTGTGTTGACGTTGCACAGCTTTGCGTTTATTAAAAGTTCTAAGGGGTGTGCTCAGAGCAGGGGGCCTGAAGAAATGGCCCCTCTGTTTACAACACACCCAACAGGAATCTGGGTTCATTGTGACAAGGAGCACAAAATCTGTGGCCTTCCTATGAACAAATACCCTACACGTGTATAAATAAAAATAAAATCTAGGTTGTTGAATTGTACTTAAACTAGTGAAATTTATGGCGTATAAATTATCCCTCTATCCTTTAAATAGAGGATTAAAGAATTAAATATTCTTTAAATAGAAATTTATGGCATATAAATTATCCCTCTATCCTTTAAATAGAGCTATTTAAAATAAAATGGTGTACAGTAATCAGAACAGCATAATATTGAGGAAAGAATAGACAAATGAATGGAACAGAACAGAGAGGCCAGGAATATACCCTTTCAACTATAGTCAACTGATTTTTGACAAAGGTGCAAAGGCAATTCAATAGGGGAAAAGATAGTTTCTCTAACAAATGGTGCTGGGCACAACTGGACATTCACATGCAAAAGACAAAAATCTAGACACAAACCTTAGACCTTTCACCAGTGTTAACTTAGAATGGATTGTAGCCCTAAGTGTAAGACGCAAAACTGTAAAACTTTCAGAACACAGGAGAAAGTCTAGGTGACCTTGGGTGTGGCACTGGGGTTCTAGATGCCATTCCAAGATCACTGGATCCATGAAAGAGAAAATTGATAGTGTAGACTGTGTTTAAACCAAAAACTCTCATTCTGTGAAAGATACTGTTCAGAGAATGAAAAGACAAGTCATAGACTGGAAGGAGATAGTTGCAAATACATAAAATATCTGATAAATGATTTGTATCCAAAATATACAAAGAACTCTTAAAATTCAGCAATAAGAAAACAAACAACCTAATTGAAAAAAGGGCCAAAGATCCCAACCAGCCACTTCACCAAAGAAGATATACGGATAGAAAATAAGCATCAGAAAAGTGCTCCGCATCATATGTCTTTAGAGAATTGCAAATTACAACAGCAAGGGGACACTACTACGCACCTATTAGAGTGACTGAAACTGGGGCACTGGGTGGCCGAAGTCATGATCCCAGGGTCGTGGGATCGAGCCCCATGTCGGACTCCCTGCTCAGCAGGGAGTCTGCTTCTCCCTCCCCTCTGCCCCCCTGTGCTCTTTCTCTCACTCATATTCTAGCTCAAATAAATAAAATCTTTAAAAGAATGACTAAAATCCAAAAAAACTGATAACACCAAATGCTGACAAAGATGCTGAGCAACAGTTAGTCTCATTCATTGCTGGCAAGAATGCGAATGGTACAGCCACCCTGGAAGACATTTGGACAGTTTCTTACAAAGCTAAATATAATATTGTTTCAAAGCTATTCATAAAGTATATTTATTTCACTCTTTCTTACGAAGTCTCACTCCTGGTATTTACCCACTTGACTTGAAGTCTATACTCACACAATAACCTGCACATGAAGGTTTATAACTGCTTTATTCATAATTGCCACAACTTGGAATCAACCAAGTTTTGCCTTTCAATGGATTAAGGAATAAATGGAATATTATGTAGGGACAAAAAGAAGTGATTGGGCCACAGAAAGATGTGGAGGGACTTTAAATGTTAAGTAAAAGTAGTGAAAGAAGCTAGTGTGAAAAGACTGCATCTGCATGATTGCAACTGTGTGACATTCTGCACAAGGCAAGACCATCAAGACAGTGAAAAGATGAGTGATGGCCAGGGGTTCAGGAAGACGGAGGTAGGGGTGACTAGAGGGTAAGGGACCTTTTTAGGGCAGTGAATTTATCCGTCTGGTGCTGTAATGGTGGACACATGACATTATGAATTTGTTAAAATTCATGAACTATAGAACACCGTGAACCCTAAAGTGGTTTAAGTATGGACTATAGTTAATAAAAAAATAAGACTCAATAAATATGAACAAAAGAATCATCAGGATGCAACACTGAAAAAATGTTTTGCTTGTTATATGCCAATTCTTCCTCTGTAACAGCTGTCAAGAAAATGACAGAATCTTTGAGCCGTACCTTCTGTGACAGACCAGTAACCTCTGAGCTCCCAGGCACGCAGTCCGTGGTTGTTGGCTCCTTGTGAGTGGAAGCAGTTTCTCCTTCTGGTTCTGTAGAACCATCTCTCTGTGGCCTTTTACAGCCTGGAGGGACAATCACTATTTGACAAGAGCAGCTTGGAAGAGACCATTCTGGAAATGATGGTGCATGAACCCATGGGTCATTTGCTGGTGCTTAGTGCATCTGGGGCCCTGTCCAGAGTGGCGTCTTCTCTGAACATCAGCAGCTAACTGGGTGGGCATTGTTTGGCAGGTCGGAGAACTGAGTTCTGAGTCCTGTTGTGTCCTTAGCTGGCTGCCAGGTTTGGGGCAAGTCACTTACTTTCCCATGGCCCATCTCAGCTTCTCTGTACAAGGAGTGGGTTTTCTGAGGGGGCGGGGGTGTCCCTGGTTTCTTCCAGTTCCAGACCCCATTTCTGTCAATATCAAACCTTCTCCCACACTTTGGCCTGGAGCGGAATGTGTGTCTTGTGTGTATACATGTGTCCCGGGGCACTTGGTACAGCAGAAGCCCTCTCATGTGGAGGCACGAGACGCCCTTCCAGTAGTGTGCCCTCTCTCCACCCTGGGTTGTGCATAGACACCCAGGGCCTGGCTTGCTCCGGGCTGGTGGCCCAGGGCAGGCCCAGAGATTGGGGGCGGTTCAGGCACCTGCCGCTCCTCCCAGTGCTGTGTTCTTTCAGCCCTTTGTGCCTTCATACATGCCAGCCCTGAGCTCTATCTCGGCAAAGAGGATCTCCTCCATCTCCAAAGAAGTGCCCAAAGCAGTTCTGGTATTTTCCTAGCCCACAACTGAGCCGTGGTCTGTGGTGTTATTGTGACTCCAAAATTCAAAGGCTCCGAGTTGGAAGATTTTCCTAGTAACTGAGACCCCAAGAGTATTTAACAATTTTTTTTATGTTGAATGAGTTAAGTCGACATTTTGGGTTAGAAGGTATTCTTCAGTTAGTATTATGCTGTGAGCCTACCTTTGCTTACTTTAAGGACCTTGGGACAACTTGACTGAGAAGCTCCGTGAGGTCTGAATGGGGTTATGGTGAAGTACCTGATCAGATTGTCAACCTGGATGTCAAGGTCATGTGTCCTTAACGAGGGAGGGTAAAGGACCAAGAATCTATTTCTTCTGACAGTTTATCATATCCTGGGACTGTTTTCTGGCCCTCTAGGGCAATATTGAAAAATTAAGCTCCAATGAAAACAACTCAGCCAGGTTTTGTATGTTTGATTTTTTTAGGACTTTGTTTAGAGAAGTTGCCTGTTTCCTCTTCTACCAGTAACCTCCACGTGGACCGGGAACAGGATGTCATCACCTGTTATGAGAAAGCAGGGGACATTGCTCTCCTATACCTCCAAGAGATAGAAAGGGTAAGTGAGGACCAAGTGTTTCTTCCAGTAGATAATTTTTTAAAAATTTCAAATCAGACTGTAGAGAGCTGTGATCGATCTCTGGAAAACCTTCAACACATCTGCCTCTGGGTGCAAAGCTTGACTTCTGTTTCAGTGCAAAAGAGATGGTGGCAACAGTGGGACCTTGTAAAGAGTGTTTGGGAAGCATTTAACATCCTCAGAGCAGAAATGACGGTGTGCCCCGAGACTGGCCAGTCACTCGTGCTCTCCTGGTACACAGTGGGCTGCCTTCATTTGTACTTAGGGGGACGAGATGCCAACAGAACGTACCTCCAGGGTTTGGGAGGCTTTACCTCAGTAGTTACTCGAAAGAAAGTTACTGCTGGGGACTCCCAGCTGACCTGCTTGGAGCAAGTGTGTATCCTCTGAGACCATCTGGGGTGGCTTCCTCCCAGCAGTCAGTGGTTGCCTGTGGTGGGGAATGAAACCAGCAGCTGACGGGGGCCAGCCGAGCAGACACCCTCGGGCACAGGAGGTTAGAGGCTTGTCTGCTCTGAACTTGTCTCTTCAGAAGGATTGCTGCCTTTTAGCTTTGCTCTTTACTGTTCCTTCATCTCAGCCTCAATTTTACCATCTGTGAAAAGAGCAGAATAGTTTCTACCCCGTGGAGTTCTGGTGGGGATTATAAAAGATCATGTAAATGAAGGGACTTAGCCCAGATGCAGAAACCCTAGATTCTTAGCGAACGTCACTTATTTATTTATTTATTTATTTTACTAATAACAACCGGTTTTAGTCATTTCTGCTCCCAGCAGAGTTTCCTGACATTCTCACCAAGGCTTGCCACTGAGATTCCCCCCTTTCTGCCCAGAGACATGTCCTGTGAGATTATTTGAAAAGATGAGAAATCCTGTGAGACTTTGAAAATGATCCAAGTCTTATTTCCCATCAATTTTTTGGGTTCTCGGTTTCCCTGAGGATTAGAATGGTCTGGTTAGCTTTGTTCCATTGTCACTGTGCAGACTGGCAGTCTTCTCCTAGTGTGTTGATGTATGTGACAAGGATCAGAATTGCTTTGTAAGGGGCAGGCAGTGCAGGTGAGCACCACAGAGAGGGGGAGGGGAGAATGATGGGACCAGCTTGGAACCTGGCCAACACCAGCATGGGTTCTAAATCAGGGGTCGTGATGTCTGGGAACTCAGGAAGATCCTTGACCGTCTTGCCAAAATGTTCTATCAGAGAGCTGCTATGAAAAAGGAATTTTTTGGTTATTCAGAATTTGTGGTATGATCTTTAGAGAAATGACTGTGCAGCCTGCTTTGAAAATCCACACTGTTTTCATCACATGCCTCCTTGATAGCCAGTGCTTGGAAGGGGAGAAGCTGTTCTTGTTGACCCCATAGCCCTTTTGCCCCGTAGGGGCCCTTGCTTTGCACCTTACTCTCCGACAGTTGTTACAGCCCTGTCCTCTCGGGGCTGCCTTCTCCTGGCTGGCAGAGAGGAGGTGTGTCTGTTACAGGTGTATTTAATGACACAGGGACTGGCAGATCTGGATGTACTTCCTGTTGTGTTGTGTGTAACCACCTCCTCACTGTTGGGTTCTCTGTCCAGACCATCGAGGAGGAGACTTGTATAATCACAGCATTTTTTTTAAAAAGATTGATTGATTGATTGATTGATTGATTGATTTTGGAGAGAGACAGAGAGAGAGGGAGAGCGCATGAGCAGGAGGGGCAGAGGGAGAGGGGGAGAGAGAATCTCAAGCAGACTCCACGCTGAGCACAAAGCCTGATGCGCGGTTCCATCTCACAACTCTGACATCGTGACCTGAGTGGAAATCAAGAGTCAGACACTTAACCAACTGCGCCACCCAGGTGCCCCTGATCATAGGATTTAAAAGAGATTTTTGTGTGCAGTTTTGAGGAGACAGTGTCAGAGGATGTCAGATTTGAAGATGAAATGGAGGACCAGACAGGGAGGACACATAAAAGTTAGGACCAAAGCTAGGACTAGAAGAACTCTTCTGACACCCAGTTCAGGGCCCACTCATGTCATTATCCCAGGCCGCTGCACACAAGTGCACACTGTGTCATTTCCCACACTCTTACCTACAGAAAGCACTCCATTTGGCCAAGCGAGCTCTTGGTGGCGTGAGGAAGCTGCCTTAGGCTTGGGTACAGTCCTAGGGAGTAGAGATGATTTTCACATTTCTGGCTCCGATTTTCCAGTGTGAGTTTTCCTTTATGGGAAACCACTTCAGGCCTCGCCAGGTCTAGCAAGCTGGGATATTAGTACTGGGAGAGACTAATTGAACCAAGTATCTGTTTTGACTGTAGTAAGTGCTCAAGAAGCCATTTGTTGATTGATGGGAAGTCTAAGAAAAACCACTTTCCTTAAGTGAGTGCTGGGCTTGGTGGACATTCAAGGTCTTTATGAGGCAAGATGGGGGGGTGCTATGTAGAAGATACCACCTTGGCCTTTTTTTTTTTTTAATTTGAACTTAAAATAACTTTTAAGAATTATGCTAAATTAAAAACAGAAATGTGGGGCACCTGGGTGGCTCAGTTGGTTAAACAACTGCCTTCAGCTCAGGTCATGATCCCAGGGTCCTGGGATCGAGCCCTGCATCAGGCTCCTTGCTCAGTGGGGGGCATGCTTCTCCCTTTCTCTCTACTGCTCCCCCTGCCTGTGCACCCCTGATCTCTCTCTGTCAAATAAATAGATCAAATAAATAAATAAATAAATAAAAACAGAAATGTTAGGGAAATAGAATCTGAAAGAAGTAATGGACTGGGACAAGCCTAGGTAAATAGTGCTTTGTTTTTCTGGGTAGGCAAGCCTTGTATCCAGAAAATCCTGCACACTCTGTTCCTATATGGGTTCTGCTAGGGACAGGCCATTGCTCATTGGTTTCCCTCCATTTCCCAGCCATTCCATAGTGAAGAAACTTCTGTTGGCCAGGACCTTTGGCATTTTATTTATTAGTATTGGTTCTTAACTTCAGTCACTAGCAAGAAAAAAATTGGGGAAGAATTTTTGAAGACAGATTGGAGTGTCATGGTCAGTATTTTCTCATGATCTGAAGCCACAAAATCATGTTTCTGAGGCAGCCCCATTCTCTGAATAGTGGAGATGTTTGATGATAGATTTGTTTGCTACCTGAAGGACAATAACTCTTTAGAAAGGAGGAGACCTTGGCTGACCCTTGAGGCAGCTAACTTAAGCTGTGAGAGGGAGCAGAGCACTGTGGTAGAGTGATGACCAGTGTTAAGATCCTGGATTTGCCACCTTTTAGCTATGGGACTTCGGGCCAGTTACGCAGCCTCTCTGTGCCACCACACGATCCTCATCTGTAAAGTAGCAATAGTGACTGCTATCAGGCTATGGTGAGGATAGAGTGGCTTAATGTACTTCCTGGTACGTGGTTAGTAACAGTTAAATGTTAGCTTTGTTGTCATGTTTTGTACCTGTGTCACCTGCCAGTGGACTCTTTCCTCATCTTAGAAGATTTCAGATAAGTAGAACATTAGAAACATGCTGTTTTGGTTTTTTTTTAAGATTTCATTTATTTATTTGACAGAGAGATCACCGGTACGCAGAGAGGCAGGCAGAGAGAGAGATGGGGAAGCAGGCTCCCCGCTGAGCAGAGAGCCTGATGCGGGGCTCGATTCCAGGACCCTGGGATCATGACCTGAGCCAAAGGCAGAGGCTTTAACCCACTGAGCCACCCAGGTGCCCCAATGTTAATTTTTTTTTTTTTTAATTTTATTTCTTTATTTGACAGAGAGAAATCACAAGTAGGCAGAGAGGCAGGCGGAGAGAGAGGGGGAAGCAGGCTCCTGCTGAGCAGAGAGCCCGCTGTGGGGCTCCATCCCAGGACCCTGAGGTCATGACCTGAGCTGAAGGCAGAAGCTTAACCTACTGAGCCACCGAGGTGCCCCCCAATGTTAAATAATTTTTAACAGAATATTTACAGAGTAATTTTTCTCGGGAGAACTTGGTTTTCCCTCTCTTGTGCAGAAGCTGATGGGACAGCATCTGACCCCCACCAGAGTCTCTATGTCATATCTGGGCTCTGGGCTTCTGTTTACCCCCCGACTGTCTGACCTTGGTCCAGTCATGTATTTCTGTGTGCTGCAGCTTCCTGTTCTCATTGGGGGGCTAATATTGCCTGATTTGTCTGGGGCTAGAGAACTCGTGAGCCAGCTGCCATAGGAAATTTCCATGTATTCTTGTCCCCTCCACCCCGTCTGAAGGTGGAGGCAGGGCCAAAGAATATTTGAATACACGAATTTGAATATTTGAAATATTTCAAATATTTGAAAATTTGAATACACAAAAGCAGGGCAATTAACTATTTATTTAGTGTTGTTCTTGTTCTATTAGGGTAATAGAGCCATCTGATTTTCTCTGATAGTTTGTTCTCTGAAGGGGAATAAAAGATACTTCCAAAATTGTGCATATACAACAACTTAATCAGACAAATTGAGTTAGATTAGAAATGACAGAGGCTGTCCTTGATTTGTTTCTCTTCAGACGGTGGCATCCTGCCAACGGTAAATAAAGTTACCTGCCCCACCAGGAGCTTCTCGTGGTGCCGTGATAGGAATAACGATGACTTCACTCTTGAATATCATACTCTGAGCCCTGCTTTTGGCAAATGAAATCATCCCGTCTCTCCTTTGCCAGCAGCAGCTGACCAGCTGCTTATGGCTGTCCTGAGCAGACCAGGCTGGAACTTCACCTTCCGCCGACAGTTCACTTCTTCACACCCTATTTGTGAGAAGAAGTGAATGCTAAATGATGGGCTGCCAATCGACTTTGATAGGTAGTTTTAGGGCTAAAGTTTTGAGGAGAAACAGGCAGTCCCCGAATATTGCCGGGCCCCACCGGAATTCCTCTGTTCTTCAGGGAGTCGCTCCCTGGTGAGCGTGGCCAGGCCTTGGCCTCCTTTCCTCCTCGCTGTTGGGGGGACTTGCAGCCACAGAGCTGAGGTGCCAGACTTGGTGGTGGGTGAG